CTGCCCCCACCTGGGTTGCTCTGGGCCCCAGCTGCCACCCCTTGGCTCTGCCCCCACCTGGGTTGCTCTGGGCCCCAGCAGCCAAGGCCTCAAGGGCACCCAGAGCCAGGGGAAGGAGCACTTCCGGTGTTTTGAGACAGACAAGCCTCTGCGAACAGGCCTTAGGTTCTGGAAGCCCAGGCTCTCCCGGCTGGCATTGGTCAGGAAGTCAGTACCCCTGCCCGCAGTGTGGGTCCCCTAGGCTCTGCGGCGGCCCGACTGTCAGCTTGGGACAGCCTTTTCCAGGTGCTTGGGGAGCAAACAGCTGCCCTCAAACTCATGGGAATTCACTTCCAGGCAGCAAGCGAGCCCAAGGAGTTTGTCCAGGCCCGGGTCCTTTGGTCTGCAAGTTGGAGCCCAGTCAGTGTCAATGAGCCAGTCAGCTGCGTGTCTGAGGGCAGAGCTTTGTCCTCAGTGTGAAGCCACGGGGGCCCTGGGTCCCCTTCGTCAGGAGCCACAGAAACCCTGGCCCACCACACTTCGATGCTCAGACCACTGTTCTGAGGCGTGAAGTGGCCCAGAGGCGAGGCCCCTCCTCGAGAGGATGCCCGCCACGCAGAGGATGCCTGCCACGCAGAGGATGCCCGCCACGCAGAGGATGCCCGCCACGCAGAGGATGCCTGCCATGCACACAGCTCCTGGTGCAGCTGTGCAAGGAAGTCTGCATGCTGAAATGAAGCGCTCGGGGGCACAGCCCACCTCCCATGCCAGTTCTCTCTTGCATGAGGGCAAGAAAGTGCGGATACCATCCCAGGAAAACGGGAGAGCCACGGAGCCAGGCGGGACCCCAGGCACCCCCTCTGCCGCAACTGGGCCACCCTCAGATATGGAGACGAGAGGGCCTTGATAGACCCCACAGTGCCTGTGCCCACGGAGCCTGCTGGTCACCCTCACCCTGAGACACGGTTTCCACCCACCCCCAGCTCTCAAAGCACTTGGGGAGAAGCAGTGGCTGCTGTAACAAGCCTGAGACCCCTGCAGCTGCTCACAGGGGCACCAGGCTGTGACCCGGCTCCAGGGCGAAGCTCTCCCCTTTGAGTTTTCTCCTGTGGAGGGAGGACCTGTCGCGAGTAATTCCCTGTGTTTACAGGTGGGGGGGAAGGGCCACTGATGTGGGCGAGGGGACCGAAATGCCAGGAGGGTGGAGGAGGTTGTGGCTCGGAGGGAGGCCTGGCGGCGCCGCCTCCTTGAAACACCACGTTAGCCGGTGCTTTCGGGTACTGGGGGCTTGGGTCTGTCCTGAAGCACTGTGCAGGGGGCTATCACTGCAGGGTGGACGGCAGGCCTCTGGGGGCCAAGGGAGAGAAACGGGGTATCCACAGAGCATCTCCTTCTGCCACATAAGACCGTCAGACGCTTCTAGTTTCCAGGTGGCAGATTTGGGGACCTGTGTCCCAGGACACACGGGCACCGGGAGAGGAGCTGCTGCAGCCGCACACTGCAAGGCTGGAACGTCGCCGACGGGCCTGGAAAGTTCCAGCGCTCCGAGCAGAGCGGGAGGGTAGCACGGGCAGTGGGTCCCCCAAGCAGAGCGGGAGGGTGGCGTGGGCAGTGGGTCCCCCGAGCAGAGCGGGAGGGTGGCGCGGGCAGTGGGTCCCCCGAGCAGAGCGGGAGGGTAGCACGGGCAGTGGGTCCCCCGAGCAGAGCGGGAGGGTGGCGCGGGCAGTGGGTCCCCGGCTCCCTTTGGGTCTGGTGCGTTTATCGGCCTGTCTGTGCCTTTTTTTTTTTTTTTTTTTTTTTAAGAATTAATTTTGGGCTGAAAAGCCTCAAAGAAGGCTTTGTTCCTTTGACACTTGCTCTGGAAGAAAAAAAAATCCGTGGAAAATCTGACATCTGCAATGTAGAGATAAATCAATAGATGGGAGGAATATAATTATCTTCCACTCCTGAAACAATTTTTCAGATTTTTAAGTGTCTCATATCAGCTTAGAATTTGAATGACATTTTAATTATTTTGTTTTTTTCTTCTTTTCCTGGTTTGAATCTCCATAGAGTTCCACTCTCGGATTCTTCAGGGAGCAGAGCTGGTGCTCATGTGGGAGGAGCGGGGGCGGTGGCTGTGCCCCTGCCCGGTGGAGCTGTGCGTTTCATCAGAAGCTGTGGCTGCCCTGGGCATGGGCAGTGCCTTGAGGAGTGGGGCCTGCTCCACCCGGTCAGCTGAACACCCTCGGCTGTTTTCATGCACGTTTGCAGGACAGGAGCCCAAGCGGGAAACAGTCTCTGGTGTTTTTGTGATCTGAGCAAACCCAGCTTCCAAAAGACCTGACTCGGTTTTTAAGGCAGTTCACCCTTCAGGTCTTTAAACAGTAACACTCCTGGATGTTTGGTGCCCTCCCTGCCGTTGGGGGTGCAGGGCGTGTGAGGGCGGGGGCGTGCAGCGAGACCCTAGAGGCGGTGATGCCGGACCCAGACGTGCCCCCCTCAGACGCAGCCTTCACAGTGTGCGGGGTGGCGGAGCCTGAGAACCCCTCCGAGGCGCGTCTGTGGACGGTGCAGCCTGCGTGTAGGTGGTGTCCCATCTGGCTCACATGCGGAGCAGGTGCCTGTTGCTTGGTGTTCCTGTAAGGCCAGGCTGGGCTCTTGGTCCCACTCCCCTGCCGTTTCTCATTCGTGTCCCTCTCAGCCACGTGCCGTCCTTCAGGGCGCAGCGCAGCCTCTCCTGGCTCTCCCACTCCCCCGCCAGTCCCGCGGGCCCCATGTTCCAAACTCGTCGGAATTGGACACGCCCCTCCCCTGCCCAGGTCGTCCTGCACAGATAGCAGCAGAGCCTGCTGCCTTCTCGGTCACATGTAGCCAGAGAACCCGGCAGCTCCCGTGCTGCCTGGCCCTGGCTTGGAGCCCGCAGCCATCCTGAAGGCCCTCCCGTGTGTGGTCGGTTTTGTGTCAGCCTGGCTGGGCTGGGGTCCCTGGTCCATCACCAAATGCTGGCCTCCGTGCTGCTGGGAGGTATTAATGTTTTGCTGACGTGGCTCCAGCCCGTGATGGGCTGACCTGGGGAGGAGGAATCTACTGGGAGCCTGAGGCTGACCCGACCGGGCAGGAGACCGAGGCTGGAGCTGGGGCTCCCTGGAGAGGAGGAAATTCCACCCCAACGGCAGCTCCGGCCCCTGCCCTGGAGGTCCTGATGGCCCCCACAGGCCTCAGGCTGCACCCCCGACCGTCTGGAGGCCGGTCTCCCACAATGGGACCGTGACTGGCACCGTGGTAGAAGGGACCCTGCATTCCAGGGACTCCTGGGCCTCCCGCTGCGGCCTCCTCAGCCCTGCTGTGCCTCGTGCTCCTGCCTGAGGAGTGCACCCTCACCCTCCTCTTCTTCCCTCGTGGCCATGCCCACCCTGCCCCGGGGCTCCCCGCCCAGGCCAGCCCTGTCAGCTCTGTCCAGATACGAGCCAGCCTCCGCTGTGAACAGATTGTGTTCCCTGAATTCCGTTTCACATGGAAACCCTGACCCCAGTGTCATGGTACCAGGAGCCAGGCCCGACACCCCAGCACACCCACAGAGGGAGCACTGGCTGATGGGAGGCAGCCGTTACGAAAGTGTCCCCAGAGAGACCCTCACCCTCTCCCCACCATGTGGGCAGCAGCGAGACAGCACCACCTGCAGCCCAATGCAGCTGCCCCGGAGCCCACCATGCTACACCGACCGTAGCCGTCGGCTCTGAACCTGCGGCATGGATTCCTGTCCTTTATGTGCCGCCGCGTCTGCCACACCTGGTGGCTGTCCTGCCTCTCTGCACCTTGTCGCACCTGCGCCTGCGGCACACGGCCTCTATGGGGTGGAGCGGGACCCGGCACCTCATGGGCACTCAGTGCTTATGTGCCAGGTGGACAGTCCGGTGGACAGGGGACGGGTGGGCGGACAGTCCGGTGGACAGGGGACGGGTGGGCAGACGGTCCGGTGGACAGGGGACGGGTGGGCGGACGGTCCGGTGGACAGGGGACGGGTGGGCGGACGGTCCGGTGGACAGGGGACGGGTGGGCGGACGGATGGTCCAGTGGAGAGGTGGATGGAGCCCAGGGGATTTGGCCGGGAGTGGTTGTAGCAGCAGAAACCGCCGTCATGGAGGAGGGCTCACTTCCGCGTCTGTGCAGTCTCACCTCGGACGCAGCCAGCGTGTGAGAGACGCTAGATGTGAATCTGTCTCAGCGGTGATTTTAGGGTGGGCGGGAGGAGGGGGCAATTGTTTCTGACTTGTGAAGGAATCATCTGAAGCCATGAGTGCCCCAGGGAAAGCGGATGGGTGTGGGAGCCGACCCCTCCCTGGATGCTTCACTGTGGCCCAGCACTGCAGAACTCCCACCCCCACAGCCTCCCTGCACCCCCACAGCCTCCCTGCACCCCCACAGCCTCCCTGCCCAAGTCCCACCTTCCCCAGTGCTGACGGCTCCCTCTGCAGGCCCCTGGAAGCCTCTCCCGTGCCCCAGGCATCCTCACAGCAGCCAGTTGCAGTGTGTGGGAGACACGCGGGGCCTGCGCCTGGGCTCCCTTTGTGCCGCAGGGGCGTGGCTGAGACCCGTGTGCACTGGGCGCTCCCTCCTGACTTTGGGCTCATCCTGGAGGCTCTGAGAAGCTTCCCTCTGACACTGTCCGTGGGGTCTGTGCAGCGCATGGTGCATTTGTGCTCTTTAAAGACACGCAGCTTCTGTAGCGTGATGAGGCGTGGAGCTCTGAGAATGAGTGTTGGGGAAGGCGCACCAGGCGCTGACTATAAAAAGGAAGCCGCCGTTGCTCACGCCCGCAGTGTGCACTTAACTCCTGTTCATCAAAGCAGCCCTGAATCTGCCCTTCCCAAATTCCCCCTTCCCAAGTGTTTCATACGTAAGGTCCCCTCCCTCACGGCACCTGCAGCCCAGATCCACGGCCTTCGTGGACGGTTCGTCTTCCCGGGAAGCTGTTTCTGTTGGGGCCGCCGCGTCCCCAGCCCCCGTGACTGACTCTCCCTCTGCCATCTTCCTTGCAGGGCCTGATCAAGATCCGGGGGGACCGGTGCTGGCGGGACCTCACCTGCATGGACTTCCACTATGAGGTGAGCGCGCCGTGCAGGGTAAGGGCAGAGCACCCGGCCTCACGCCGTCCCATTCCCACTCTTGGTGGGCGCAGTCCTGCACACCCTGGTGAGCGGTTGCGTCACAGGGTCACCCCCAGTTGATTCAGGACACCCTCTCCTTCCTTTCTCCGGGTGGGGTGGTCACACGGGGGTTTGCAGGCGCCCCTCACTTGTTGGGGCCGCGGGGATGGGGTCCGTGGCTCTCCATGGTCTCGAGTGCAGCGGGTTTGCTCTGGTTCCTGCACCGGCACCCTCTGCTGCTGTCCTCGGTCCTGCCCAGGCCTCCAGGCCAGCCCTTCCTTCCTGGAGTCCATAGCTCCCCACCGTCCCGGCAGATGCCTCTTGGGGGCTTCCTGGCTGTGTGCCCAGCCCCTGCCATGCGGAGCTGTGGCTCCATCATTACCTGGACACGGGCAGGTGTGTCCCACAGGGCAGGTGTGAACCACAGCATAGTTCCACTGTGCTTGGCCCCCAGGCCCAGGCTGAGTCCCTTCAGACACCCCGGTTCCTGCCAACTGCTCACAAGTTCATGTAGGGGCTGGGAATGACCTGGGGCCTGGAGCTTGGATAGTCATTTGTTCTCAGTCCATGTGGGAGCCTCCTGGTAGCAGCATCCCCACCCTGGGCCTGTGTGGTTGTGGCCACGGCGCACCTAGAGCATCTCAGGCCCGGACACCCCTTCCTGCGTCCGGCCAGTGCTCACACCTGCACTGGAAGCCGTCGTTGTCCGCGTGCCGCCGACAGCCAGTGGCAACTGTCTCATTGCCTTTGCGTTTTCTGCCAGGGTTGCTCTGGCACTCACCGCCTCCACGCGTGGAGCTGGTGCCGTTCTCACGTGGCACCCCTGCTGCGGTTCTGTATCTTGGTCCACGTGCCAGCCTGGGACGGGCGTTTATGCCTGCATTTACATTTAGTGGCTGTGTCCTGACTTTATTCTTCAGGCTCTTGAGATCTCCCCATACCCCATCAAATGCTCCGCCTTGCTGAGGACCTGTGAGCTCCTCTCGGTCTGAGACCAGGTTCTGCTGACGGTCGGTGAGATACCAGAAAGCAAACGCTCTCAGCTCTGTGGCTGGATAGTCCCAACACAGCCGTGACAGGCAGCAGCGGCAGAGCACACATGCGTGAGAGGCTATCGCCAACAAAGCTTGCACACCACAGCCCACGCCAGCCACCCTGCCCCCGAGAAGGTCCAGCGCCCTCAGCCCAGGTCAGGAAAGCTGAGGGGACCCGTGTGTCCAGACACCCTCAGGACAGGTCAGCAGAGCCGAGGGGCCCTGTAAGGTGCCCTCAGGACAGGTTGGGAAAGTGTGGGGAGGTCCCATGTCTCCAGAAGCCCTCAGGACAGGTCAGGAAAGCTGGGTGGGCCCCTTGTCTCCAGCCCAGAAGCTCCACAGCGCATCTCACGGAGCCCGCTGGCTCAGCACAGGGGGGCACAGCGGTGGTGCACTGGGCTCAGGTCCACGAAGGCTGGGGGCTGGTGAGGACCATCCCATGCAGGTTTCCATTGGCGAGAGACACTGAGGTGCCCACCCGTGTCCCCATAAACACTCTGATGCCTTCTCTACGGAGCGGCTGCATTTTAAAGCTGGTGTCAGGCATCCTGGGCTGTGTCTCTTCAGTGAACGTGGCTGCTCTGGGCCCGGGAGGGTCTCAGGATCCGCAGGACTCTCCCGGTCAGGACCACCAGGGTGTGGTGTTTCTGAGGGGCGGGTCACGCCACAGCTGCGCTCCAGCGAGGACGCAGGTCGCAACTCTTGGGGAGGCTGGCTGGGGGGCCCCACAGCTGCCTGTCAGCACTGCCTTCCCCTGTGTCCACGCGGCCAGCTGGGATGCGGTGGGTCCCTTCCCGCCCCCGTGAGCACCCAGTTCTTCCTGTGCCCCAGAGGCCCAGGACTGCCCCTCGCCGGAGCTCTCTGCTGTGTTGTGTGTGAGGAGTGCTCTGTGTCCGCCGCCAACTCCACCAGTTCAGACATGGCCCGAGACAGTGGACAGAGTGGGCCCAGCCTAGAGCACAGAGGCAGGGGCGGCCCGGGCCTGAGGGATGACCCTGGATGTCTCGAGGCACCCTCGGTGTCACTGCCACCCGGAGGGTCGGCCGCAGCGGTGTCCGGGCCACAGACAGGGCCTGCAGGCAGGGCCCAAACCCACTCTCCCTGTAGCTTGCAGCGTGGCTTTATCTGGGACCGCCTTGTGATTAGTTAAGATGAAGTCAGCGTGGACTGTGCTGAGCCCCAAATCCAACGACTGTGTCCTTAGAGGAGGCCCAGACACATGGGGGTCCTGTACCCACGTGGCTGAGCTTCTGGAAGGTTGGATTGTGGCTGGGGCCTCTCCCCTCTCCAGACACTGAGGCTGCAGTGCAGGGTGTGCAAGGTCAGGGCCCTTTTCATCCACATCCCAGGACAGGCTGAGCCTTGGCTCACGGAGAGCCTCGAGCCTAATGTCCTGATGGTCACATGGGGTCCAGGGCCAAGCCGGGCAGCTTGAGGCTCTGGCGGCAGCTGCTGTCCCAGCGGGTGGGGCCACCCCCTCCCCGCCCAGCTGCAGAGACTGTCCTCGGGGAATCGCATTTCAAGTCCCACCATCACCTGAAGAGGCATGGGGGAGCCCCACTGAGCTGGGAGAAGGCCCAGGAACCCCTTTTCTTACATCCCCAAGGGGGCCCCTTGGGGCTGTAGGAGCGAGTACCTGGAGTAGCCAGTGTTCAGAGCAGTGCGGCGCCGTGCCTGCAGCGGGTGGACCACCGTGACAGGGCTCTTTGCGGTTCACTGTGTCCCCTGGGGCAGGGATGGCCCACGTACCGGCCTCAGGGGCCTGGACTCCACTCGACAGACGGAGCAGTGCCCATGCCCAGTCTAAGGCCAGGTACAGGGGCAGTGTGTGGGGAGAGCGAGGACATCACATCTGGGGACAGCTACATGGGGGCCCTGGGAGAGGGATGCACAGGTGGGCGGCGGCCATGAGGCAGAGGGGCCTTCAGCTGGGACGAGAGCCGCAGCCCCCTCTCACCTCAGACTTGTCTCTCAGACAAGGATGCTCCCTCCCATGTGTGTTGAGGACGAGGCACTGGTGAAGGTTTCAGGAAGTCAGGGTGTCATCTGCGCGCCCAGGGCCCTGCATGAATCCTCTCTCCGAGGAGGACCTGATTCCGGAAGGTGGCAGGCCCCTGCCTGCAGCCCCCGAGCCGCGCTGTCTGCCCCACAGCATCAGGGGTGGCGGCCTCAGGCCCTTTTGCTGTCTTTCCGCTTCTTGCTGGTCAGATAAGGAGTCAGGGGGGTGCCCCTTTCTAGGAGAGTTGCCCCTATGCTGTGGGGGATGCTGAGCCCCTTCAGGAGCCTGGAAACCTCCGGAAGTTTCAGCAGCACAGAGCGAAAGGCAGCCATGCACCCCGGGGACTCTCCCTCCGGGCTGGAGCTCCGAGTGTGCGGACTTCTCTCCCCCGAAGGAACTGCTCGGCCGTGGCCGTCCGCAGCCTCACAGCCCAGACTCGCGCTTTTTTCATCTGCTGGTAACGAAAGGCAGTTGCCAGCAAATGCTGTCGGTTAAGCCAGAAGCAGCGGGGGAGGCGTCCCCAAGTTCCAAGAGAAGAGGCCAGTTCCCCGGAGGGTGAAAGGCGACGGGGCAGCTCTGCCTGAAACTCCCAACAAGCCCTGTGGCCTTCCACGCGTGGTGTTCCCAGATCTCCGCAGACTCCACCAGGATGCCCTGCAGCTCACTCAGCTCTGACGCCCTCTACCCAGAGTGAGTGCAGATCCTGCAGGCCAAGGGCTCGGTCCCACGAAACACTGGGGATGCACTGATGGCTGCTTGCTCTCAGCCAGGAGAGGGACCAGAACCATGTCCTCAGCCCTGTCCCCAGGACCCCCAGGATCCCAGGGCCAGCACAGGACAAGGGTTGGTGACCGGGGACGGGCGCCATCTGGAATGCCGCGGGCTGTGGGGAGGGTTGCTGCGGTTCCCACGTCACAGTGGTCTCCTGACGACACGGATGCAATAGCAGGTTGTGAATGCGGGGGTCACGCAGCTGCTTTGAGCAGCAGGGATGGCGCTGGCTGCTGAAATGGAAAGTCCAGGCCTGTCCTCTGTCTGCACGTGGGTTTTAGGAAGTCAGCTGTCATCGAGAGGGATGGGGTGAGGACTCCCACGGATGATTTTGATGCAGAGAAGACTCACTGGATCTGGAGTACATGGACCCCAAACGTTGCAAACAAGTCTCCGTTGCTTTTTAGGGGAGTTGAACGTGACTCTGTTGCTAGAGAGCTGCGGGAAGTCTAGCACCATCATTCAGTCCCACGGTGCTCCTTCCATGCCCCGTCCAGAGCTGCTTCCCAGACGTGGCACAGGGCAGCCCCTGCCAGGGCCTGGGCGGGCAGGGACCCACGGCCACTTCCCTTGCTGCCGGCAGGAGTACCCCACTGAGCTCCACCCCCTGCACCCCAAGGCTTGGCCCGAGGTCAGGCCTGTCGGTGAGTTTGGGCCGACGTCGTGGAGAAGGACAAGTCTGTCTGCTGAAGGACGCTCTCAGGGCTACAGACAGGTCCCGTGATGGCACGGAGCCTCCCAGAGTCGGCTCACTACCGGGGACCAGGCCACGCACCACAGACCCTCGGGGAGCTGCCTGGGCAGGGCGGGGGTCCCCTGGATCTGCCTGGGGCCACCTGACACTCCTGGAGCCAGGGTCTCCCAGCCTGCGGCCGGCAGCCTGCGGCTTGGGGGTGCGTCTCTGGCTCCCACACATGCGGGCGGAGTTTTAGACCAGTGGTTAGAGAGATCCGGAAGCACTGCCCCTGCCCGTGGTCACTCTCTGCACCCTGACTCCAGGCCCAGGCCACGGCCATGCCTTCCAGGGTGCCTGCGACAGCCCTGCTCACCCCGAGGTGCTCACGGGGACCAGAGGCCATTCGTGCTAGGAGCGCGCACTCTCTGCGTGCGGCGGGCCGCACAGAGCAGCCCTCACTGGACTGGGCTCCCAGAGT